TCATCTCTCAGATCTGTGCCCGTTCCAGCACCTCGCGCTGCTGGGGGCAAAGAGCAGCTCCAGCTTCATTTGATGCCAGCCACAGCAGCAAATGGTTGGCACCTCTGCAGGTCAAGTCCTGGGTCCCCGACCACTCAGGGCATAAAGAGCAGGCAGTTAGATTTGCCTGGCTTTTCCCCAAATGTGGTGGGGTCCCATGGAAAGATGGTGGATGCTTGGGTTAGCAGCAGCTGTCTCGAAATGCCTTCACTGGCATCAGGGCAGGGTCAAGGGGTCCCGGGCAGCCTGGCTCCTGAGTTCGCTGCCTTGGTTCTGCCTGACTCTGCAGCCCGGAGCTCGTCATGGGAGTGCTGTGTGCATGATGGGGTACCGATGGGGGCAGCGATGCTGGTGTTTGAGGCCCGGGGCCTCCCCCGCTTCCCTGCGGTGCAGAACTTGTCCACAATTCTGCTGTGGTGTGTGCATGGGGGGAGATCTTCCACTTCCCAGTGTCAATGCCACGAGGGTGGAGGAGCCCATCCTGGTTGTGCTGCAGCTGGCAAGACACCAGGCTATGCAGCTGTCAGCGCTTCCTGCTGGAGCAAGGGCCCAGCCCCTGCATCAGGTCTCTGGCTTCTCGCTGCAGCTTCAACTTCCCTCCTCTTTCCCCCTGGGAGTGTCCTTTCTCTCCCACTTGTGGCCAGCCCCCTGCTTCCACGGTTGCTGCTGTTTGTCCTGCCCAGGGGTGCGCGCAGGGTGCAGCCGTCGGCAAGGACCTCCCGCTGCGGAGCGCGCAGGGTGACTGCAGGTCTAGGCACTGTGGCAGATTCTCTGGGAGCAGTGAGGTGGCTCCAGGTGGCTGGCGAGGCAGTCTGCAGGGTTCCCGTGAGCCTGGGCATGCCCTGCGCCTGTGTGCACTGGTGCGGATATGCAGGCGTGTTGCGGTGTAGGAGCCTCCCTAGAGGTGAGCGTGGCAGGGGTGGCTCGGAGGCACGTGAGGAGCCACAGTTACTGGACCCCTCCCTGCGTGGGTCTGAGGTGTGTTGTGGTTCTCCCAGCTCCTGTTGTGGGCTGCAGCTCTGCAGCGAAAGCTGCCACGAGCCTGTAGCCTGATCCCATCCAGGCAGCTGCAGGGGCCTTGAATCGGGGCAGAACAGGAACAGAGTGTCCGGAGCTGCCCGGCGTGGGCACTCAGGTGTCCGAGCTGCTGCTCCGGGTAGGAAGGGGCCTCAAAGGGGTCTGGGGGAGGGGAGAGTTTCTTGGTGGAGATTTAAGGAGAGACTCTCTCCCCTGTCCCTGACTGTCCCTGGGACGTCATTGGGTTTGCTTCCTTTATGAGACGGGCCCACCTTGGTCAGCAGCTCCTGCAGGGGGACAGGGATGCCTCGGGGCACATGGGCTCAGTGCCCTCGGGTTCCTCGGTGCTACCCTGGTGAAGCCGCTGTGATCTGGCTGTGCCCACACCTGGCAGCACTGTCCTGCAGCCAGGAGCAGAGGAGCACGGGGCGGGGGGAAAGGTGCTGCACGCTGCCATCAGGTTTCTGCCTTCAGGCTGCCATTGCCGTGCCCGCCATCTGCTCGCGCTCCTTATCTGCCTGCCTGATCGAGGGCCGTAAGTGGGTCACTAGGCTAGCTGGCTGTGAACCGAGGCTCTCGCGTTGCAGGGGCTGTGCTGCTTCTCCCGGTGAGTCTCCCAGGACCCCTCCACCCAGCTGCCTTCTCGCGTGCTGCAAACGTGCAAGGGTCTTTCAGCAAAACCAGAGCAGGCAGGACCCACAGCGCTGACGCCCTCGTCCTGTGGTCAGGATGTATCGCAGAGGCAGATGGCCCAGACCGCTGCTCCCCTGCCCCGCGGGTAGTCTTCCCTGGGGCAGGGGCAGGGGCAGGGGCAGGGCGCTGATGGGGACGGAGCTGCTCCTTTCCCGTCTCCTTGTCCTGTTCCTGACTGCCTGGGTGCTCGCTGCTCAGCTGGGGCTGGAGTCCGGGCTCCTCCGGCTCTGGTCTTCTGCAATCCTGACCCCGAGGCTGGAGGCTCCATGTTTGTTCAGGCCCAGCCCCTCCCCGCCGGGCAAGACAGCACATGGAGGGCCCGGCTTGCCCATCCCCGAGGTGAGAGGGGGATGGCGTCCGGCCAGGGCTCGGAGATGACTCACTGCAGCCTGGCGGCTCTCCCCAGGATCCGCTGCGCCTCTGCGTTGGGTTTGTTTTCTCCAGGCCGAAGCAGGCGGTTCTGGGGAGGGCTCCGGCAGGGGTTTGCACCACCTCTCAGGCCCCTGGCTGGACTCGGAAGCTTTCCAGCCAGGAGGAGCAGGGAGGTGGCCCCCTGCACCAGAGAGTTTGGGGACGGACGGAGCCAGTGGGCAGCTCGTCCCGGGGAGACGAAGCCACGGGCCTGGCAGTCAGCAGGACCCCTGCATCGTGCTGGGACAAGCACCGCTTGCAGTCTCTTCACTGCCTGCAAACCCGCGAGCGCGCTGGCTGGGCCGGGAGGGAGGGAAGGGTCTGGCCAGCCACCCTGCACTCGGGGAGGGGGCCCAGCCTGGCCCGGCCCGCCCTGCCCAGCCCTGACAGCCGGCGCGGCGGGCTCTGTGCAGTCACAACACGCTGCAAGGCTTCGAAACTCTTCACGCAGCGAAACAGCCGCCTTCCTGGAAGCCCGAATGGGACTTGTGCGCGTCTCTGCGGCAGACGGTCCCTGGTCAGATCTCTCGGCCCCTTCTCCCTCGGAGCAAACCTTGGGCTCGTGCCTCCGCTCCCCTGTTACCACAAACCCTGGGAGTGGGGAACCAGTGGGTTGCTGCGAGAGAGACTGCTGGAGAGGCAGGACTTCCCCCTCCGCTCGTGTAGGCAGATTCAGCAGACAGCGCACGCTCTGATACAGAGCAGCTCTCCTCGTTGTCTTGCAAGTGAGTCTTGCTCCCTCTCCTGCTGATCAGACAGTGCTGGGTCTCGCTGGGACATTTGGGGGCGAGTTCCAGTAGGTCAGGAATCCAGTGACCCTTTGCTCCCATGCTGTTTCATGCCTTTTGTTTCCTGCATCTGCATTATTTGTACTACTGTTACTACTGCTGGCTACACACGGACAGAATCGATTTCTCACTATTGGACATTTTCCTAAAACCATGTATGCGGGGATGCCCCTGTGCTGGGGACACCCCGTGCCATGAACACCCACCTGCAGGCCTTTCTTATCATGAATCCTCCCTCTGTCCTTTCTTCTTCCTGCCATCGTTAACAGTGTTGATGCTGTGACAAAATGTGTTGCTGTTGGCTCAGCTTTAACCAGACAGTGACCTGCTCACCAGCTCAGCTGCTCTGCAACACCTTGCAGGAGCAAACACTGGCACTTTTTGGTTATGTGCTCTCCAACCCTTTGCTTGCTAGCAGCCAGGTCCCTGCAGCTGGGCTCCTGTTTGCCCAGTGAGAATAGGCTCTAGCCACTGCTTCCCCTTTGGGTGCGGCAGCCCAGCTCTGACTCCTGCCACCAAGAAGGCTGTGGAAGAGTTGTAATTGTGAGAGCAAAAGCTCCCGTGCCGTGGACCCATCCTACCAGGGGCTGGCAGGGACCTTGTGGGCTGTCTGATCCAGCCCCTGCGCAGAGGCTGTTTCTGGACTGCCCCAGGCGGACGCCTCCAGCAGCAGAGACCCTCCAGCTGCTGCTGTGCCTGGGAGGAGAGGAAAGAGCAGTGGGATATTGGGATAGGAACAGTGTCCCTCATCCCGGTCTCCTTGGGTTGTTGCCATGCCTCCATCCACCTGGACCCCCTGTGGCGGGGCCCAGGTGGATCCTGTCCTGGTTGCAGCAAGTCTCCCTGGTTGCAAAGAGCGTTAACTCTGCTGATGCCTCTGATGGGTGCGTTGCAGAGATGCTGCCACAGAAGAGGTCGTGGTGTGGTTGTCATAGTTCCTGCCATCCCCACGGCTCGCAGGGGCTCATTTTGCTCAGTGCGTCTGGCACTGCTTTGTCCAGGTCAGGTCCAGGGGAGCGGGAGCATGCAGGCTGGCACGGCGACTTTGGGGATGCCTGCGGGAGCTTGTCCTGGCATGAAGGGCGCCAGAGTGGAAAGCGAGCAGTGCCTGTTGCCTTTGTGTGCGCCCTGGTGATGAGCCGCTGTCCTGCTCTCCCACCACTGCTGCATCGTGCTGTTGCATCCTGGGAAGCTCCCGCCTGCAGCCGTCCCACCTGCCCTGCGGGCTCCGCTCCGTGTCCGGTGATGCTGGGACTCGTCTGAGTGCCACCCACTGGGAGCCCCCTTCTTTCGGGCACGTGCGGCCCTTTCCTACGTGTGCAGAGCCGGCTTGGGCCTGTCTGGTCTCTGGGGACCGGGCTCCCCCTGCATGCCGGCTCAGGGTACCCCTGCCCCCGCCGTGCAGGGGAGCCGTGCAGCGAGGCTGCTGCCCGAACACAGGCGTGTGGGCAGGCTGCAGGCGGGAGCGGGGCACTGAGCCAGCATTC